CTTTGCTAGAATTGCCCTAATTATTTATCAAGTCACCTTTTTTATTTCACTGGTTTTTTTAGCAGTTTTAAATATAAATACTTTTGTTGGTCTCACAGAAGATTCTCTGGATTAGCACCTTTCATTTATTTCATTTTTTTATGGAAACTTCGTTTCTTGTTTTCTAGCTGAGCACAATATTTTCGCCTTACCATTTCCACTGACGAAGTTCCTTTTGTGTGCTTCACAATTTTTATAAATACAAGTGATCAGAATCATACACGATATGTTTAAAATACCTCAGTAAACTAAGACTGTATCTTATGTGTATAAATGCATTGGTTAAACTTCTCTGATTTAAATCAGAAATCTTTTCAAATATACCAGAAGTGATCAGAATCATTAATCGCATCTCTCAAAAATCTAAATAATACATGACAAGGTATCATGTTTATAAGTATAAAATTTGTAAAGTTCAATTGATCGAAAATATATATTCTTCACATGCTATTCAGGGTGCCTGCGGGTAAAAATTCAAACACATTGATAATTTTTTTTATTAATACACATTTATTTAACCAGAGATACGTATACATTTATTTTAAATAAGTTTCTTAATAGTATTAGCAGTAATTCACTTTGTCATGTGAGTTTTGCATATTAAGATGCTTTTAAAAATTTGTTATCAATTCAGTCAAACCACGCCAGCCTCGTGATTTGAGCGATATATATTTTAGTTTAATATGTATATTTTCTTTATGAACATGACAAAGTGAAGTACCGTTGTAATTTTTAATATATTTTTTAGGTGTTATTTTTTTTAGAACAAATCAGTAGTACATAGCAAAAATGTTTCATACCCATAGTGCCAACCTCACAATCGGTATACAACCTTTGCTGCGTCTTAAATGATTTTTTCTAAAACTTTGTATAGGAAAATTACTTACTTTAGTAATACAATGGATACATTATTTTTCTTCATATGTATATATTCATATGTATATATATACATATATATATATATATAAATATTTTGTTAGTTGCATATATGCAAAAATTAAGGAAAAATTTTTTTTTTAAAAATTATTTTGATTCATTGAAGCTTTCAGCTTTTTCATGTCTTATGAGAATAATAAATCAAAAACTAATTTAAATTATTAAATAAAAGTAACAGTAAATATATAAATAATCTTTTTTCATACAATTTATATTTGTAAATTCAAAAATTAAGTTGTTAAGTGAAGTAATGATATTAGTTGTGATGAGTTAAAATTTGTTTCATTTCACTACTAAATTATAGTGTATAAGTCTTTATAGTAGCATATGCATAGAATTATTAAATTTTAATATTAAAAACATATTTTAATATTAATTATTTAAAGAAAAAATTTTTCACTAAAAGTCTTGAACAAAAAGTTCAAAAACATTTGCATTTTCCAAACAATATTATTAAGTCATTCATCGTGAATAGGAATGGAAACATAAAATGTAAAGTCTTAAGTTATAAATATATATATATATATATTTACATATTATACCAGAGTATATGATAGAATTTATGTCTTTTAATATATATGCAAATGTCAACAGATGAGAGAACTGTTTTATATATACCATTAGTTAGAGAGATAATAAAATTCTTTAATAAATATCAAGTAGTCAAAAATAATATTAAATTGATTTTTATATTATATTAATATATTGAAGTATGGCTTAAATATAATTAAGATATGTAAGACAAATGACTTAAATTTCAATTATAAAATATAAAATATGGATGAATTTTAAAGCATAAGCAGTTTTACTGTAGTACTGTAAATTTAATAAATTAAATTTAAAAAATAAAAACAAAAATTATATAAAATTAAAATAGTATTATCTATAAGGTATCAAAAAATGATATTTAAATAATATTTAAATATAAATGTTTTTTAAACAATTTATAATTTTTTTTTTTTTATATAATAATTTTTTAAATTTATTAATATATAAAAAGTATTTGTAATCGTTTGGTGAGTTCAGTCAGAGACCATTTTGGACTCATTATGGCAAGCTTTGTAAACAGCATTAGCCTGATTCATTTTTATACTAAAGGAATTTGTTTAAAGTAGGAATTATAACAATAATACAAAAAATGGATTCACTAAATTTAAAAATTTGTTTACAGTTAAATGTTATAATATACGCGTATATCAAAAAAGCTGTTTCGTTTTAAATGTAACTTAATAAAAATTCACAGTTTTCTTAAATATAAATTAACAAGTTTTATGGAGTTTTTACATACAGTATTTTATTTAAAAACCATTTTAATAATTATTATTTTATTGTATTTTTATTGTAACACTTGGTTTCGAAAATAACAAATACACTAACAAAGAGCTTTTTGAATTATTATAAACTTTATATTTTTATTACAACATATATGCAGAAATACCTTTAAAATATATAAACTTAAGATATAATCATATAACATGTCATTGGCAACGTGAAAACAAAGCAGAGGTTGTTTCATTTTTTCAAAAGATTGAAAACTGTTTTAATATCACGCTACCATTGCAATGTATCAAAATATGTGTACACACATGTATATATATTTATATATATAATATAAATATATATTAGTATGTATACATATTATATATTTATTACATCAATTGCATATATTTATTTATTATTTCTGAATTTTTAAAATAAAACTTACAACTATTTGTTTTTTATTAACAACTTTAATTATCTGTTTAATTTAATTAATTAATTAATTTACTTTATTTATTCATTTTATTTATTCATTTTATTTATTTATTTTATTTATTTTTTAATTATTTTATTTATTTATTTAATTATTTTATTTATTTAATTTTTGAAAATTTAATTTATGCTGCTATATTATATAATTTTTATATATTATCTCATTCAAATATATTTTTAATTGTCTTAAAATTTATAGTTCCTTTCTAATTGAAAACCAAAGCCTTTTCTCTTTATTTTACTAAATTTTTTATACAGCATTGTATTATGTTTATGCAGCATAATATATTTAATACTTTTTTCTTTAACTTTTTTTTTTATATAAGAGTTATTTTAATGTTTCTTATTTAAAAATTTTGTATTTATAAAAGTTTCTTGTATTATAATATATTTATTATATTATATATAATATTATTTTTAATATATTTTTTATTATGTCATTAATATCTTTAAGTTAAAATATTTATTTTAGTGATTTATATATATTTTTAAGTTCACATTTAAAAAAATTAAAATTTTTAAGCAGTGATATAGTTTTACTATTTTGTTCTAATATTTTGTAAATATTTGTTTAAATATATTTTTTTACGTTTGGATATATATATTACACATTCAACATATATATTTAAATACTTTTAGTATATATTTTCAAAAATGGCCTTTGCCATTTGATAAATTTATTTATATATTAAAACTTTAAATAGAGCAAAAAATGGTTTGTCACAAAATTATACATATAACATATAGCACAAGGAACACATTACATTCTCATAATATTTATGAAATAAAACAAGAAAAATATATGTATATATTTAAATAAATTAGAATTTCATCATGTACTCGTAAAATCGGTTGAATTGATTTTGGTGAATAAGTTGTGGTGTATTATTGGATGATGGAGAATGGTTATATAAACCCGATAGATAGTGCTTTACACTAATGAAAATTAACATTATTTTGTTTTGGATTAACAAAGTTATGATAATTTTGGAGTACTTAAATTAAATTAATTTTTTGTTATTATTGATATGACTTTTATATTATAACAGTCATAAGAAACAAAAATTTAATCATTTTAATCAATATACTATCTTAATTTTGTGTCATAATTATTAAAAGAATGTTAATTATATTTGCTATAAATTATGTATCATTTTGTTAGTAAATATAAAAAAGTAAAATATTAATATTATTATTTTTTAAAACGAAACTATCAGTATAATCTGAATATTTATATTAAATAAAATTTACTATAAAGTGAATTTCATTTTTTTTCATATAATCAAATGGACAATTAGAGTTAAAAAAATTTTTTATAATAATTTTGTTTATCTGATAATTTCTTTGTTAGGGCCATGTTATGCAGAGTGTCTCGGGCACGACATGAGTACAATTGTTGTTGTTTTCAATGCAAATTTTAAATTTGAGAATGAGAGAAAAAACAATATGACCGTTCAAACTCCGGCATGAGAGCCGGCGTATTTGTGCCCCGGCACCACGGTTGCCACTTGAAAATTTTTTTCTGTACCAAAATTGGTTTGAAAAGGTACCATTTCTGTAAAAAAAAGGTCCAAAATTTTTCTATTGTCTTTTTATAAGAAAATACAATTTATATAAAATGTACAAAAAGTACAAAACAATACAAGTTACATTTATAAAAAAAATTAATTGAAAATATCCACAATAAAGTTGGGTCGCCGAAAATGTACCATTTTTTGAACATGAGTACCAGAGTACCAAACGGAAAAAAAAGTACCAATTTTGGTACTAAAGTACCATAAGTGGCAACCGTGCCCGGCACTAAGGCAAAACAGTGTTGTTTAGTAATAAATTTCAAAATTTGCGCCTTTTAGGAGCAAACTACTACAATTCTAGTACGTTTTGGAGAAAAGATGGCAGTAAGCAACACAGCATTTTTTTTATAAATCGCTAATAAGATAATTATTACACTTTCCGATTTTAAAGAAACGCGTAAGTACTGTTAACAATTATTATAAGATAATATAATAATAAATTAACATTTTATTACAGCCTCTATGAGTTTTTTTATGCGAGTTATTTTTGATGGCAAATTGAAAGTGAGCATATCTAAATTTCCTTTTAAATTTAGGCACAACCAAGAAGTAGTAAACATACAAAATTGGCAATACTGATGTCACACTCTGCATAACATGCATTTTCGGCATAGCCCGAAAGAGCGTAATTTGCCGTGCCCGAGACACTCTGCATAACATGGCTCTTATTGATTTCATTTTAAAAGTATTTCTGTTTTATATATGGTTCACTATTTTAAAATAACATCAAAAACACATATTATATACTATATGCTATATATTTAGTAGTGTTACTAAATCTTACATCTAATTAGTTTTAAATTTCTTTTTCGCCAGCCAGCTGTATATTGTTTACAGTTCCAATAAAAGTGCTTGTTTAATCCAGCTATAAAAAAAATATATAATCATTATTTGTTTTTTCTAGTATTTATATAATTATGATTTTACAATCAAGTATTATTATACAATAAATTATTATTATACAATAAATAATTATTTACTATTTATATAGCAAATAATAATAATAAAAATAATATATTATATTACAATATATTATTATAAAAAATATTATTCTATTGTCGTGTATATTGTTAATTTTTAAACAATTTAAAATATTATCACAATAATTTTTAAAAATCTACAAAGTATTTCAAGATATTACACTAGATAAGTTAGATAGTTTTATGTACTTAGACGATATTACCATATATCGATTATTTGACTATAATAAAACCAAATTTTACAAATTTACACACTTATTTAAGCCCTATTAATCTTTGACTCTAACCTGTTGATGCGGCTACGTTTTTCACCTTAACCCAGGATAATTTCATACAGATCTATCCACTCACTTATTTCATCCCTTATTTCAAGCACTCTCTCTTCTTATTTCATCCTAACCCTATTAGATCCTAAAACATGTATTCGTATTTTCTATATACATCTCCTGGCTATACTAACAGTACACAAATGTTCAAATTTTAATGATAATATAAATTAAATATATATAACATAAAATAAACTCAAATAATATTATATAATAAAAATCAATAATAATTTAAAATACAAAATATAGCAATTTAAAAAAAATAGTATTTTAATAAAATAAAATAATAAAAACAATAAATATAATTTTAATAAACGAAAATAAAAATCAATTATACGAAAGAAGATCAAATAAAAATAAAATGTTTTAAATTATATAATTATTAAGACAATAAAATAGTTTTAATATTATATTACATAGCCCAAAAAAAATTAACGAAATAAATTACTTGACAAATTAAAAAAAATCATACAACTCTAAAAACAAAATCAAAATAAAACAAAATAATATGAACATTAATATATATATAAATAATATTAAATATAAATAAAATGAAATATAAATAATATGAAATATAAATAATATTAAATATAAATAATATTAAGACAACCCGTTTCATTATTAGAACAAAAAAATTAAATTAAATAAATAAAATAGCACAATAAAATAAAATTAAATAAATCATCTAAACTAATTAAATTAAATAAAAATAAATATAAATTAAATCAAAAATATAAAACTCTATAATATAATGTGCCATAAAACAATTGATATAAAGTAATGTAAGTAGATATAAATATAAATTAAAAAAAATAAAATAAATTAACAAAACAAAAACAAAAATACAATGAATTATATAGAATAAATAAACAATTGTTTTGGTTTAGAATTAAAATTTAAAATACTAAAATTCTTTTTACGTATATTAAATATATTCATATCTATATTGAACAATATTTGAATTATATTAAAAGATAAATATATTTTTTGTATATATTACTTTTGCCAATTTACGCAACACATTTATATAGTTGATAATAGTTAATAATTGTTCGATTAAACATTTTTTCAATGTTTAATTTAGATTAATCTAAAGCAGTGGTTCTTAATCTTTTTTTGACCAAGAACCACTATGAAATTTTTGTTTTTAGTTAAATCAAAACGTTTAAGTATAATAAACTATATGAATATTTTAATATGCGTTATGCATCTCTGGTATAATGTATAATGAATTGTAAGTAAGTGAATATGTACATTATATAGGCTATAAAATAGGTTTATAAATAAGTGAGATCTCAATAGACAAACTATAAGCTATATGTAGCCTTACCTTTTAATTTTATTTCACGTACAATTTTTAAGAATCTCGCGGACCACCGGTTGGGAACCACTGATCTAAAGACTGCAAAAAAAAATAAATAAAATAAAAGTTATAATTATAATTTTTATGAATACACACCTCTTTTATATTATGATTTTGAATAAATTAAAAAGGCATATCTGATGGGACGTTTTGGTGTATGTTGGGATCTGAGTGTCCTAAATTTAATGTTGGTACTGAACCGCTCCTTAAACGTTTAACGCCTATCAAATACGGTTCAAAATGTTTACTACAAATTAGGGTTGTATTACGATTTGCTTCCGAAAATTGTATTTTGAGGTTATGCTCCCATTGCTGAGCAACAAATTGATTTTGTGGCATTCGAAATAATTTTATCGTGCCTGTACGCTCCTGCATGCAATGCGATAAATAACATCGTTTCGTCTTGTATATTGAATGTCCTTGCATGCTAATAGGTGTTGAAGATGTAGGTATTAGCAAATCATTACTAGAACTATCCGTCTCACTTCTTCTGTCATCATAGTAGGAGTTTTCATAGTTATCGTCATAATCTTCACTAAATTGTCTCATGAGTAACATTTGTGGGTCAAATACAGAATTATTTAAATCATCGTCATGTGCTGTGTTTATAACCATATTCGATGAAATTTTAGATTCATTAATGATGTTTGAATTATTTATATTAAAATCATATGGGTAATCATCTAGATCTGCAATATCATTACGATTATCGTATTTTAGTGCATCATTGTTGAAGAGCATTAGCGGAATATTCGCACCCAAGTTTAATGTGGGTACTGCGCCCTTTCTTAAATGCGTACTCTTCTTACGCTGTATAAAGCAACGTTCCTCAAAATGATCACTGCATATTAAATATCTCCAGGGATTTTTCGGATCAAATTTTATGCGCAAATTATGTGACCACTTTTCTTGAAATTGTAGGGATGAAGGAAACTTAAAAGTTTTTACGCCACTTGTTGATGTTTGCTTTTGACAATGTACCAGGCTGCACTTTTGGTAGCCCGATTTTATTTCATTATAAGTTATTATATCATCTGTGCTGTTTAAAATATTGCTTTAATAAATATAAAAAAAAAATATAAATTAGTAAAATTATTAAAACAAAAAAAAAAAATTAAAAAAAATATATAGAACTTATATCTCTAAACCTTACATTGAATTTTTTTTTAATAATAAAGAAAACATGTATAACTATTATATATATTTATATATACATATATATATATATATATATATAAAAAGAAGTTTGTGAATTTTAATAAGAAAGAACACTTTAAGACGATCATATAGACTAAAATAAGAAAATTAGCATATGGTACAGGGCATACTGACTACACTAAGTACTCTTCTAATTGGCTTACTACTTTTCTACTTTTACTATTGACTGTTTCGTCGCATTAAGTTTATGTTTATGTAGAAATTGAAATCCACTCATCTACTAAGTACTATATAATTAAATATTTATTACACAAAACAATACAATTACTACAGGTTGCGCATACACAAATTATATTTGAAATTATAGTACGGTGATCGAATCCTCGTTTCGGATCCTGTAATCTTACTTACGAAAGATTAATGTAATGTTTTGGTCTAAGTTTCAATTTTCAATAAAGAATTAATCTTTAAATATCATTATTCTCCTTCATTAATTAGTATTACTTGAGAAACATTTTGAACTGTAAAACTTTTTAATAGATTTACATATAATCTTATCGGCAAAGTAAGAAATTATATTAAGTTGTTCTTAAAAGTATATTGGCCATCTGTTACGTTTTATCTTGATAATCTTATTATATACATTGTCTAAACGTGTATGCAATGACGTGACTCATGCAAAACAATTTTCACATCTCAATAATATACCCAGTTTAAGTTAGTAGTTTTTTCAGAGTATTTTTCATGTTTAGAGTACTAGAGCTTCAATCATCTATTGTAGCATTGAGCTAGATATATGACAAATATGTTACAGAAATACCATATCAACTTCACGAGCTTCTTAGAAAGTTTAAATAACCTAACTGATGGTTTAGTATAGATTTACATGTCATTGATATGTACGGCTGTTTATTAATCCAACTGCTCTTAAACTTCTCAGAAAGTTTAAACAAGTTTACGTATGATTTGGTTCTGATTTATTTGTCAGATATATGTTATTACGACTATTTATTAATCCGACTGCGATTAGATTATATGATGAACTGTGTTGGTATTTGATTAGGCATTTGAACAATAAAAAAAATAGAATATGTCACAGATCTTGACGTGGTATAATTCCCTCCTTTCTTGCACTTCTCAGCAAGGTCAAAAAATATCATAAATGTTACAGTATTGAGTTAATCGGATATAAAACTCCGACTGATTTTTAAAAAAACTGCTCTTACACTTTTCTACAAGTTAATTAAACTTCATAGTTATTTATTTCTTCCTTGGTTAGTTTGGATTTACGTATTATTAACAAAAATCCCAAATCTAATAATTAACAAAATTTATTTCTAAACTGCAAATCAAAGCATTATATATAAAGATATTAATTGAAGGGATTTTTATAAGCGACAGAAAGTGTGTTTATTATTTTTATAGTTCTTTTTTTTTAAGGCCTACAACTATCTACAAAACAACGAAGCTAAATTTGCAGTTTTTATAGATGAATGATATGTATTAGGCAATGCTTTTCAGCGTATTTAAATATTTTGTTAGAAGTATTATAATTATTAATTGCAAGTGATATAGTAAAGTTAATAAAAACGAATAATTTGTGAATAGAATAAGATGTTATATACTGCAATACAATAGACTCCTCTGTAGTATGATAGATACAACTCGTGTCATATGTTTACAGCTCAAAAGTATTAAATCACTTGTATATATATGTATATATATATGTTGATCCTTTTTTCGAGTCAGCGCAGCTGGGGGTACTACAGGGTCCCACCCATCTCATTGACTAATTTATGTATTGCCTATAAGCTTTATGATTATTCAGTGATTGATCTAAGATCTGCGTACCTCCTCGTGCGGAGAGTGATTACTCTAAGGTTAGATAGTGGGAAGTAGGATAGCCTGTCAATTTTCGCATATAACTTCAGGGCTCTGTCCCTTATGTATTTTTTGATTGGGTCTATTCTAAGGACTCTTAGCATGTCGTTTGTGCGGATGTACTAAGGCACTTTGAAGAGCCTTCGGAGAGCCTAACTTTGAGCGACTTGTAGCTTTTGTATAGTAGAGTTGGAAGCTTTGCTATACGCGACACACCCATAAAGTAATGCTGGTCTAATTATCTGGCTATAGATCAGTTTTCTGTTCTTTACGCTAAGGATGTTGTGTTTGAAAAGTGGTTGTAAACATTGGAGTGTTTTAGCGCAACTGCTTCTTTTGACTTGTATATGCTTATGCCAAGTGAATCGCTTATCAAACGTGATACCTAAGTATTTAATGTTATCCTCCCAATTAATCACGATGTCACCAACTCTTACTCTCGGTGGATGTTGCCTACTGTACATTTTTTTTTTGTTTCAAATATTCACCTTTCCCATTTAATTTTTTTATAGAAAATGTTTTAATAAAATTTAAGGACTAGAAGGACTAATTATTACATATATATAAAATTTTTACAGAATAATTTTATTGTGAATGATGAAAATAGAGGAACTATCATATATAATATTCAATATATATGATGTAACTGAATATTCTTTAAAAACATAACATAAAAACTAGTATGAACGCACTACTTACTGCCGAATAATTTTAAATCAGAAAACAATTCCAGTGAATTTAGTGAAAATAATAAAAATTTAGAAATAAAATTTTTTTTATTTAACTTATGGGGTCGGCAGAAGTTAATTTTATAATTTACGACCTAAAAACACATTAGTCTCCTCAACTTTCTACCTATGTGAGAGCTTTAAGATAGATAAAAATATGTGTGAGAAGCTGAAAAATTTTGTAGATAACATTAATATAGATATATATATGATTAATTATCTCTCCTAGAGCACAATTTTATTTTTTATATTATTATTATTATTTTTTTTTTTTTTTTGTTAATATTTTCAATTAAAAATGTAGAAAAATTTTAACGTTTCAATGTACATTTTAGTACAAAAATCATATTCAAATTATGCAAAATAAAATATTGTTTTCTGAACACAACATTAAATTCGGCTTACTTTATTCTGCGTCTGTTCTTCTCTTCTCTCATTCGAGTATTGTTCATATTCTTCTTCTTTATTATATATCTTCAAACTAGTTGTTTACGTTAACAATTATTATCTATTTACACATATTTATTTTGATTTTTATTATTTAATTTTAATTTATTTACGGCATCGTGCTTATTAATAGGTAGGGGATCACCAATATAGCTTATTTATGCCTGGAAAGAAAGTAACTATTAATATTTACAGACAAATTCAGACAAATCTGTAACGTTGCTTTTTGTAATAGTTCATAATCCATGACTCATTTCAGTCAACAATATATAGCAAAATTATTTTAATGCTCAATAGGTATAAAAATAAGAAATAAAATTAATAACAAAAATTTATGCAGTTTCAAAACTTCAAACGTTTTTCAATAAAATAGTCATTTTTTTCGATTTTTTTCCAAACTAATTTAGAAACATAAATATATAAGTTTCAAAATAATAACAAAACACTTCTATTCAAATAATAATAACTATGATTAAAATTTTACAACCAGTCGAATTTATACAATCAATAATCAATGATAATTAATTTAATTTAATTTTGTTAATTATAGGTAACATTAAAGATATTGAATATAAGCTAAAAACCCCAATTGTTTCACAGATTTTATATGACAAAGATCAAATTATGGGTGTGGATCAGAAAGTCAGTAAATTTTTGAATTACCTACATTATGTTTCCTTAATCAATACACTTCTCTTTAATTACATTTGTTGATAAGTAAAGATAGTATAACAATCCCGAAAAATTGATATATTAAACAATTAAGCTCAATAAAGTGAAAAGTTGGAAGCAGTTAAGTTTGCTCAACAATAGTATTCTAGATACTTAAGTAGGTTCCAAGAACGGTCGGGTCTACGTCCCGGAGTCACCTACGACGACCTAGTACCGTTCAACATCTCCCAACATAGGGACTATCCTACAAACTAGGTTCGCCTGAAGCTGTGATCTACTAACATACAATTCAACAAATTCGGCAAGTAAACACTCAGTGGGTGTGGTACGAAAAGCTTGGCTAATAATACTTGCTGCCTGATTATATATTTTCTTTATTTGATTGTGCAGTTTTGCTATATAAGACTAGACCATAGTCGATCTTGCATAGAAAACAGGACGTGCTGGCAGGTTATTTGTACTATGCAATATGATCCAATATGTTTTACAACCGCAAAAGAATTGTGGTGCCGTGATTAAAAAATAAATCGAACCTGTTATAATAGTGATAAAAACTATTATAATTATTGTATATTATTTATAGCTATTATAAAAAGCCCAAAAGGACTTAATATTCTGTGAGTAATGCCAATGAGATAAACTAACCGTAAACTGTTTGTGTGAACATCTATATAGGTTAATGATATATTAAAAAACTAACAATATCACTAAATTGTCTGAAAGCGTTAGTTGTAAGAAAACCAATATGTATAGAATTTAAGAGGCGGTTGTAGTTTGTCTATATATTATCAATATATATCTGGAAATATGTTTGAGCACTATTAAAAATAAACAACCGCATGAAGTTTTTTGGTTGCACAATGAATAGTTTTTGTTTTTAAGCTTGAAGATATAGTACGCAACAAAAAGTTTTAATTTCAATGAAGAAACAAATGTCGATTTTTGGCATACTCGTATTGTACTGCGAACTATCTTCAACTAAAAGGAAATTTTGTTGTAACTCAGTTGGTTAAGGTGTGCTGACTCTGAGCTGCAAATTTGGCAGCACACGAGTTCGATTTCTGGTGCTTGCAGTCTCAAAAGATTATTTACGAATAATTAAATACAAGAATTAATCCAAGACCATTGATGATGGGTATTTGGCAATACTCGAAACAGCTATATGGTCAGCCGAAAATTCATTTAATTAAAATAATATAAAATAAATTTTTGTTGTTGTTCTTCACCTCTTAATTGCTTTTTATAAAAAAACAATTCCCCTGACTTTTTGATCCACTTTCGTACAGTATCTCAATTAATCTCTACAAATACTGTAGTGATCTTTAACATAAGTTGTGTGAAAAGTACTTTGAATTTTATTTAATGAAGAGAATCAAATTGAAAAAAATTTATGAAAATATAAAAAAATTTATAAATATATTCAAATAAATAATATTGCCAGATTTTTATCCAATTGTTTTATGAAGTCTGTAACAAATATTCACAGTTGACACAAAAAAGAAAGAATTAGAGTTATAATTCAAAATGAAAAAGATATATAGAATGTAAACACATTTTTCTAATATTGCATACATCGTTTGATAGTTTTACATTTCAATTACATTTATAGTAAAAGATAAAGATAGTGTTAAATTAGTAACTATAATTTCACCACATTTAAGGAATAGACAACAGAGTTGTAGTAAAAACATCACATTAATATTTATATATGAAAATTAGTAGTATAAATATATCAGTCAACTTACTCTTCACCTTTGTATTTTAAAATACTTTTTCAATATCTATTTGTATACAAGTATTTGAAGACCCAAATTAATAGCTACACAATAATATATATAATACACATGACAAAAAAAGTTTTGTAACTACGCTCCCATTATTCTTACTTTTATTTAAATTTTTTAAGTTTATTCAAGTAAAATGCTCTACTTTAGAATAAAACACTTTTTTTTTCTTCATTTTTTTTCTTCTATTTCTTTTGAAAACTAACAGAACATCAATTTTTGCTTTTGGAAACGTACTACTTGATTAGAAGAAGATAAATGTAGTAGTAGTAATAATAGTATACAACATATACAAAGTAAGAGTAAAAATCAACAACATTAATGTCAAGTTCATTTTGTAATACGTTCATAAAAAAAAAAGTTTTTATTTATATAAGACCGTGTGCGAGTTCGAGTAAATTGAGGTAAAGTAATTTAAAATTTCCAAGGGATTTTTTTCACTGCACCTATGTAAATATTTATTTATTTATTTATTTATTGCACTGCATTTATTATTTTTGGTTAAAAGTTTTCAAATTTATTTATTTATCTATTAAACATCATATAATAAAATTTTCACAATGGTAACACCTAATTTACCTAATTTTTATCTAATTTACCCTACTCGAATTTCTGGTAAATACCAACATTCGCTGCCATACCGACACAATTTACTATCTCCCTCAATTTACCATTAATTTACTCGAACTCGCACACGGCCTAAATATATAAATACACAACGGATCATACATTACACACACTTATAATAGAGTAGAGTACATATAAAAGTTAGTGCTTCAAATATATTATATCAGCTGTTCGAAGCTTTGAAAATATTCGATTCGTTCGAGCCATTCGATGCTTTAATGCCATTTCGGCACTCACATAAATGATACATAAATGATAATAAAATGAAATATAAAGCAGATTTGTTATTCAAGTAGCTCAAATATCTTTGAGCAGCTCGAACATTTGACAACAAGTTTGATCCAATTGTTTAAATTTCAATTTACTAGAACTGCTCCAGCACCGTAAATTTTCAATACTTTGAAGCACTAATAGAAATAGCATATAAAACATAAATTTATTTGAATACTTACACATAAAACAGATTGTATAGAAATAATATATTAAAAAATACAATTTGTTTACTTACACATGGGAAGGTGCACTGTAGTCACTGATTTGTGTATCCTCAATTTCAATCTTTAAGCTAAGAAACAATTTATACGTTATAATTTAGTTAATTTATATCAAAATACTACAGAGTTTGTAACTTACTCAGGTACCAGGTCGTGTCTGGCATCTAAGTTTAAAGTTGGCACTGCTGTTTCTATTAGATCTTTGTTAGCATCAAAGGAATACATGTCAAAATGCTGTTCGCATACGAAATAAATAGCTGCTCGCTTCGGATCATAATCGAATGGTAAAACTTGCAGCCATTCTCTGAGCGACCTTTCATTTTGAGGAAATTTAAATAAGCGTAGATTTCGAGAGTTATTATAGCTTAGACGACAACTGGGCACACAACAAAAAATGCCATCAGCTGCAGCAGCTGGTGCATTATTGCAATTTTTTGGTCCCACATATAAAGTTGGTAGAGAACCAAATTTAAGGCGATGCATGTCATCAAAACATGTACTATCAAAGTGCAAACTACATATATTCACGTTATAACCACGTACATGAACATCTAAACGACAATTGCGTAGCCATTTTGCACTTAATATGGGATTTTCGGGTAACTTGAATAGTTCAACACCATCCTCACCCAAACGTCGACGACAAGTTTGAATCGAACACGTTGTGTTTGTCGAATTTGCTGCTGGATTACGTATTAAATTGGCAGTCTTATTTGTTTCACTGCTGGCAGCTGCACAGTTACTATCAATTTGTTTTTTCTGAGCATTCAAATTAAGTGTGGGTACACTGCCAGACAGTAGTTCTCTTCCATTTTGTATATATTTTGGTTCGAAGTGAAGATTACAAATACGAAAGAATTTTTTGAGTTTTAAGTCAGCTTTTATGCATGCATTATTTTGCCATTTACGAAATTGCCCACCTGAAGTTGGAAACGAAAATAATGCAATATTTTCTTGACCATCTACACTCGTACATCCCTCAACCCAACAATGTTCGACTTCGCCTTCGTTATAAAAATCTGTTGAACTTGTGTTAGAAGTTTGCGTTATGACCCGGTCATCATTTATAGTGTTTTCACATTGACTTGCACTCACATCTGCATAGTAGCTATCTTCGTTGTATGATGTGTCTGCCAATTCAGATTTTATTTGTACTGCTTGTGACGAGGAAGTACTTTTTGCTGTATCATCTAACATTTGAGTATCATCAATTAAGTTAATACAAGGCTTTTCATCAATTTGCGCGTTACTATCAGTTGATGTGCGCGTAATCCCTCCAACACCAAGTGGCATAAGCATTTCGTTTGAAGCAATTTGTTCCACTGAAGGTTCTCGCGTTAAAGTATTTCTTTTTAGAGCCTTTTTTCTGGTTATAGCTGCACTAGTTTTATTTCTCAAATACTCCAAAGGCATATCAGAATTGTCTGAATCAATATCTTCAGCAATCATTCCATTGGTAGTGCTGTCGTCGTCATCAGATTTATCATGATCATCAGACTTAACACTTTCAGCATGATCATTTTGAGCATCATGAGCGTCTTCGTAAAGTTTTTGACATAATTTGTGATATGGTACGACTCTTATTTTAAAACCTTCATTTTCTCCGACAGTTGCAGTCGAATTACCAGTTTTCAATTTATTTGTAAGTAATTTGATAACCGAATTTCGAGCTTCAATCGTTTTACAAAACTTTGCACTATACTCAATTAACGAATCGGCTTCTTGTATAAGTTCAGTGGTGTCAATGTTATTATCACTTTCATTTGAATTATTGGAATGTTTCTCTTTAGTTCTTATCGGCCGTAAAATTTTTAATTTATTTTTCGTAAAATAACGTCTTTTAATAGAATGGAGCGGTTGGTTAGCCAGTTTATGTGTTAACCCACCGAGAAGTATGGTTACACTTTTATTTGAATATTCATTTTCCGGTAACTTTAGTGTTGGTATGGCCCAGGATTTCAATTTTTTGGAATTGTTTGCTGTTGTACGCATTTGTACATTCTCGAAATGCTGTTCACAAATTTTTAAAGCATTTGCCATTTTAGCATCATAAGATACTTTTGTTTTTAGGCACCAATGCTTTATTAAATACTCACGACGTGGAAAAGTATATAGTTTAACTTCACTAGTTAAGCTACAACTGCCACATTCCGGCACACTACATATGAAACCTCGCACGATTTTGTTTTGGTTTACTTCCTCAATATTGCTTCTCAATTTTTTCACAATTTCATTCACCACGTCGTCGTCAGGCATGCATTTAGTTTTTAGCTTTTCCAAAACTTCAATATTTTTCATATATGCAAACTTAAAATGTATTGGACAAACTTTTAATTTTGAACTAACATGGTGTGGGTTTACGCGCAACGTACGACACCAGCTCACATATAAGCCTGAATCGTTAGGTACATCGTACATTTCCTCAAACTTATAATAGTGCATGTTATTGCATTCTGGGAAACAGCATTTTTTCTCAAATCTATTGTGTAAATGCGAGGCTCTACCTGGAAAAGGTCTATGCTTACGCTTTATTATTTGTTCTGGACTATAAACTGGTGAATCTGTGTGTCCTAAATGCAATGTTGGCACCGAACCAAATATCAGTCGATTGTGCTTATAACGCTGCGGTTCGAAGTGTTTACTGCATATTTTATAGTTCTGCCATACTTCCGATGTAGGCTGCAACTGCAAATTTCTGGTCCATTTTATAAATAATGAGCGCAATTTGGGAAACGCACTGAACATAATATTTTGATTATTGCTTTTAATATTACCACAACTCGTTACACAGCAGCGTATAATTGCTTCAGGTTTTTTAAAAGATGTTGGATTCGGAATTATATTTTCATCATTATGCCCTAAGTGTAATGTAGGCACTGCTAGCTTCAATAAGCGTTCGTGTTGTATACAACGTTCCTCAAAGTGCACTTCGCAGATTTTTAGATTTTCGCAAGCATCTGGATTCAACTTCAAATTTGTACACCATTTATTTCGCATTTCGTTGTCACGTGGAAATTTACACAATTTCACTTGATCATTTATTTTATTACGTCCACAATTCGGTGCATTACAGTTAAATTTTTTTAATTGTTCCGGTTTGAGTCGGCTATCACACCATTTGTCACGATGTATTTTTTCTCGATTGTGTCCCAAATTTAATGTAGGCAAGGAGCCGCGTAATAAACGCTTTCCTTTTATGGATTTAGGATCGAAATGATTACTACATATACGATAACCTTTACGTGCTGCTTCATCTGCATTGTGATTACAGTTTTCAGCCCATTTACGCATCAAATTAACCTTGCTCGGGTACTTAAAGAACTGCACATCTTCAGTTTTTGGTTTCTTACATGTGGAAATAGCACAATGTTTTTCTTCACTAGATTCACTGTCCTCACTTGTGCGTCTAGCTACTTGTGTTGGATTTTGATGCATTATAACATTGTGTCCTAGATTAAGTGTTGGCAACGCCCAAGGCTGGGGTCTATTCCTGCCCATAGCATAATCTTCAAAATGTGCGACACATAATTTTTTGTTTCCTAATTCTTCATCTGGTAAATTTATGTTCTCACACCATTTTGTATAAAGCCAAGCAGTTTTTGGAAAAGTGAATAACTGCTCAGGGGTGGGATTGCTTTCACAACTAGGTATGCAGCATTCATTAATTTGTTGATCAGATTCGCTTGACACAGATTTTTCGCTATCACTATCAGTTTTTGTATTCTTGAAAATATGATCGTCATTATGCCCCAAATCCAAAGTAGGTATGGCCCATTTTGCTAGAGTTTTACCAATGCATTTACTTTCGAAGTGCAAGTTACAAATGCGTGCAATACGACAAGTGGCTTCATCTTTATGTACATTGTGCACCCATTTTTGGAAGAGTTTATCACGTGTGGGAAATGTGAAAAGTCTGATACCAGCCTCCTTATCGCGTACTTGTCCACATGTTTTAATGCAGCATGTGTGGAACAGTACTTCACTTCTTGGATTGTGATATATGGAAGTGCCCTCTTTTGAACGATTTAAATAAACAGTTGGCACTGCCCACGATCTTAAGCGTTTGCCAAGACAATATGGTTTAAAGTGAAGTTCACATATTAATAACTTTTTGATGTTTGGCTTAAAAGTTTTCATTTCTAAATTATGGCACCACTTTCTTAAAAGTTTTTCATTAGTCGGAAATTTATAATATATTACATTATTTTTATTTTCCAATCTGCTTATACATGCTTCCACACAGCAAAATTTACTACCTTTACCATCAGCACGTAATAATTTTTTAGTATTATTAACTTCTTTCGTTTTAACTTCTGTCGTATGTTTTGTATTTTCTTCAACTGGGATAGGAGACGGAAATATTGGATTATTATGATTTAAATTGAGTGTAGGCAATGCACTTGGATGTAGTTTACCGTCAACTATAGCATTGTTATCAAAATGATTAGCACAAATGTGGCGCTGTATATAATTCATTGGTAATCGTGTATTTTGGCACCATTTGCGAGCCTGCAGCATTCTTGGATTTGGAAATGGAAACAAATTAACGCTTGACACCTTATAAGCGTTTTCACAATGGGGCATACAACAAACGTTGCCGGTTTGTACTGTATTGTTTATTCCAGCTCTATAATTTTTATAAATGCGTTTACTTGTGTGACCCAAGTCAATTGTTGGTACTGTTCCATCTTTTAGTACCGGACCCATTTTCAAGCACGGTACAAAATGCTTACCACAAACACGCATATCACTCTTATACTCATGTGCTCCCATCTGTAAGTTGTGGTACCATTTTTTTTTACAAACTTCATCGTTAGGAAAGTGATATAATAAAGTTTCGTTTGTTTTCTTGCGCTTACAATGCTTGAGACAACATTGCAAGGAAAATGACGGATCTGAATTATCCACATCGTCTTCCATGCTTTGTGTTAGCGACGCGGGCACTGATAAAGCGATTGCACGATTTACTGCTATATTATGTTGTTCATTACTGCCGAAGTTTGTGTGTTTTATAGGATCATTGTGGCCTAAATTTAATGTAGGCACTGCACCAGCTTTTAATTTACGTTTTCCTATCATGCGTAACTCAAAATGATCAATACAAACTCGTCCAATGCAGTTCTCAGGATCTAATTTTAGATTTTCGCACCATTTTAACAATAAATTCTTGTCTTTAGGAAAACCGAAAGTTGTTAGATGTTGCTCAGGAGTTTTCTGTTTGCCACAATGCAATAAACAACAAATGGGTGATATATTATTAACAGAACGTCTGCTAAACTTTGAACGCAGATTATCATTATTTTCACTGGCAGCATTACTAGAAGAAGTATTATTCGGGTTCGCAAATATATTATTACCACTTGTATTCAATCCATTTGTGGAGTTCTGTGCGTGTACAGTTTTAGTTCCGTAATTTTCATAGCTCCCATCAGTAAAATTATCATTTTTAGGCATTGTAGTAGAGATGTTTTGTTCATCATTACTTGTATAATGATGTTCATCGTCGTAAGCGCCATAATCGTCACTATAAGTATCCATTGTTGCTCTGTAATGTGTACTTTCAGCATCGGTGTTATGTAATTCAGATCCAGTGGTGTCGACTTCTCCGCTAGTATCAGCTTGAGTGGTAGAAAATTGCATTACTTCGCTTACATCAAAATCTAGAGAATCCATCAAATTAGCACCATTTTGTTTAATACTTTGTATTAATGCATAATTTGTATACGCAAGTTCATCATCGTGACCCAGATTAAGTGTTGGCACAGCGCCATTTCTTAATTTACGGTTTCCCATTACTTCTGCTTCAAAGTGTTCAGCGCATAAACGACCTCTACAATCACTTATAGTTAGCTTCAAATTTATAGACCATTTCTGCAACATTTCTGGGTTTTTAGGAAATGCAAAAGTGCGCAAATTATTATCTAAAGTACGACGATTACCGCAATGACTGAGACGGCAAAGTGGCAAAAAGAAACCAGGTATATTTTTAGGATTTTCAAATATACTGTTACCATGACCCAAATGCAAGGTGGGCACTGCCCATGAACGTAGATGCTTCTCATCAATACATCTTCGATGGAAATGCAAGCTACATATACGAACTTGTTTGTTAACTGCACTGTGTGGCATGCAAAGATTATGTGCCCACTTTTTTTGCATTATGATACTATTAGGAAAACCAAACAATTGCACGCCATGTTTTAATCGGCATTTTTGACAAGTGACCACACAACACTTGACCATATCTAATGAATTTTTCATCTTAGCATGTGCCATATCTGTGGCTTCATTTTCCGTGTTGGTATTGGTAACTGGATTCTGATGTATATTCGGATCGTCATGTCCTAAATTTATGGTAGGTATAGCCCAGGCACGCAAACGTGCATTTCCAAAGCAATGCTTCTCAAAATGTTGTTCACAAATCTTATATAATGGTGACTTTTCTTTCTCCAGTTTTAAATTTTCCACCCAAATTTGCAATAATTCACCATCATGTGGAAAATTGAAGAACTTTAGCAAACCATCGTCATTGCGCTCGAGTTGGCAACTGCTAACACAGCATTTCAGAGCAACTGGACCCAGTAAACGACGTTCAATAGCAATTAAATCTGGATTTTTATACATTTTATCAGGTTCTGGATGTTGTAAATTTAAAGTTGGTATAGCCCACGGTCGCAAACGATGAGTCTCAGTTAAGCAATAAGGTTCAAAATGCTGTGAACATACTTTATGTAAGTAACGACGATTTTCATCAATCTCAATGCCTGTGTTGAAAACCCATTTTTTAATCAGTTCACGGCTGTATGGAAATTGGAAGAGTTTTTCTGCGTGATTTAGTTGGTTTATACTACACCCTGAAACGCTGCATTGTGCACTGCAAACAATTAAAGAGTTACTGCAACGATTGTAATAATGTGCTAGTACTTGTAATTCAAATTTAAGGTTTGATTCATCAGAATGCAATTCATTCATGGCAGCTATTGTAGACTGATAAAGTTCTATGTAGTGCAAGCCGCACAATTGATCTGTATTTAGAGTATCTTGATCGATATGCATATGTGTACACCACATATTGAGCAGTTGCTCATTTTTAGGTAAAGAAAATGTCTCCTTTAGCAATGTCTTAGATGCTTTACATGCAGGATAAGCACACTTTTCCAGCTGTTCACTGAGAATAGTATTATCGGGAACTATTAATTCTTCAGTGGGTTCTTCATTGGCATACATATTAGCAAGCTCACTTATAGCAATATTACTATCATCATCAATTACAGCCGTAGATTCAATTCTATCCAATTCAGTTGTATTTAATTCAGTTCTATTTAATTCACTTTTATCCGATTCATTTGTATCCAATTCAGTTCTATCCGATTCATTTGTATCCAATTCAGTTCCATCCAATTCATTTGTATCCGTTTCACTTCTATCCAATTCATTTGTATCTATTTCATTTGTATCTATTTCATTTGTATCCAATTCATTTGCATCCAATTCATTTGTATCCAATTCATTGGCATCCAATTCATTTGCATCTGTTTCAGTTGCGTCCAATTCATCGTATCTATCTAGCAATGGTTTAGAAAACTGATTATATTGAAGTTCTTTCGGATTTACTTGGAAGATATCATCTAAATTATTATGGCCAAGATTTTTAGTGGGCAATGCACCAATACGTAATCGTAACTTTCCTAAGCAAATATCTTCGAAATGATCGTTACAAATTTTGTATTTCGCTCTTTCCTTGAAGTCTAGATAATCTAGCTTTAAATTATATTTCCATTGCTTAAATGAACGTATATTTTTGGGAAAACTGTTCAATTGAACTTCATCGTATTTGCGACTCTTTCCACAAGTTGGTACGCAGCATTTTAAAACAATCTCATTGGGTCGCTCTTCGGTGGTAATTATTTGTGTAGCTTCTGCTTCATTGCCAAAAATATCTGTATCGTCATGACCTAAATGTAATGTAGGTATAGCACCAGGACAAAGTCTTTTCGAACCGAATGAATGAGATTCGAAATGTTTCGAGCACACACGATAGTGGCCTTTAACAGCATCAGAAGCTTTTTGACGCGTATTATGACACCATTTGCGCAACAATGCACGACGACTATGAGGAAAACGAAATAGTTGTACGCCATCCTCTCTGGTTTGACGGCAAGTAGGTATAATACATACAACTTGTAGGCGCATTTTAGCATATTTAAGACGAGCTGGATTTTGATAAATTTTATAACCTGGCGGTGTATTTAAATCAATAGTCGGTACGGACATGACCATGGGACATTTTTTAGTTAAAACCTCTGGCTCAAAATGTGTTGAGCATAAGCGACGATGATTATTACCCGTTAAAGGCAATTGTAAATTATGACACCATTTTGCTAACATATTGCGATTTAGATGTGGAAAACGGTACAATTGTACATTGTCAGTTGCACGCATCTTACGGCAATGCGATAAGCAACAACGTGGTGTCCAAGGTGTGGCTTTTTTTGCTTTGACTACTTTGATCGCCTTATGTTTATGTAAGAATTCCATACGATCAACTGGATTTTCGTATATTTGCTCAACTTTTCGTGTAAAATTTAATGTAGGTATAGCCCAAGGAAATAAGCGTCGTTTGCCTATGCAAATGGATTCGAAGTGAAGATTGCAAATTAGCATATTACGCAACTCGGATAAATCGATCTGCAAATTGTGTGACCATTTTTGTATCACTTCATCCTGATCAGGTGTGCGATACAATTTAATATCGTCAACTGCTGGATTCCGTTTACATGTTTCCACACAGCATTCGCCTTCTTCAACATTCACATTAGGAACGGATATTTTTGGCCATTGTTCAGCTATTTCCACGTCTGAGGGTAGTTGATGAGTAACAACATCATTATGTCCCAATTTAAGTGTGGGTATCGACCATTTTTCTAACCGCTTACCGCGTAAACAACGTGCTTCAAAATGAACTTCGCAAATGGCATCATTAAATAATTTAATACCATCTGGTACTGGTTTGTGCAAATTTTCGCACCATTTTTGCAATTGTGGCAAATTCCACGGGAAACGGTGTAAATTAGCATGATCACGATCGCGGTTACGTTTGCAGGTTTCTACACAACATGTTTCGCGTATGTTTAGTTTCTTTATTACTTTTGGATTTCTATATATGTTCGTGTCATTATGACCCAATTTTAAAGTTGGTACTGCAAAAGGTCGCATGCAACCGCCAATACAATAAGGTTCAAAATGTACACTGCAGATACGCATTCCCTTGTGTATTTGTTTTGATGAAAGTCTTAAGTTATGTAGCCATTTTCTACGTTGTTCTAAACGACGCGGTATTGTATGTAAAGTAATACTCTTTGTTTTACGAGTGTTTTTGCAACTGTGTACTAAACAAATATCGGCTACGTCATATAGCGACGATGACGATGTTGGACATGTTTCATCGTTGGGTGGCGATGGTTGCGAATTTTCATTTATAAACTGATATGGATGTGGTGCTATGGCTGCTTCTGGGAGCGGTTTAACTATTGGTGCAGCCGGTGGTGGTGGTGGTGCAGGTGGAATATATGTTTCACATTTGTATAATTCCTTTTTATCATTGTGTCCAAGATTTTCTGTTGGTACAGCACCTAAAAAATAATTTCATTGTAGGATTATAAATAGTACTAGTATTTCTAAATGTTAAAAATTTAACAATTCGAATTAAATATTTGCAGGGGTATTAATTTGTTGCTTGTCATATGAAAAATAATTTTAGTTTATATAATTTTTTTATACCTGAAGTAAGTTTACGCAAGCCCAATGCTTCTTTTACGAAATGCATGCTACAAATTTTTTGGTTTTTTCCACGATATGCTTCTGCATCTAACCCTAGGTTATAGCACCAACGTTCTAACATGCCATGATCTCTTGGAAATCGATAAAGCGACAAATTAGATGAACGCGTACGTTTACAGTGTGGTAAACAACATTTTTTCTCTTCAACATTAGTTACAACCGGATTATCATGTATTCTGCCAAATTGATTTCCCAAGTGCAGCGTTGGAACTGCCCAAGGTTTTAAACGAAACTTACCAAAACAATGATCTTCAAAATGTTTACCACAAAAGTGCCTAGGCTCCCTTGCGTTAACGGGTAAACGAGCATTTTGACACCATTTAATCAAAATGTTCGTATGCGTAGGAAAATTATAAAATTTTAGATTACACACACCACGAGTGTTTTCACATTCAGGCATGCTACATTGCGCATTCGGACCACTAGTATAGATTTTGGTAACCTCACGGTTTTGATAGAGATTAGCAACATTATCATGCCCCAGATTAAATGTGGGTACCGCCCAATAACATAGCGAATACCGATTAATGCAACGTTTTGGAAAATGCAAACTGCAAATACGGTATGTACGACATTTCACTTGGGATTTAAAATCCATTCTTAAATTGTGAAACCATTGCAACAAATATTTTTCAGTTTTTGGGAACGGAAAAAATTGCAATGAAGGACTGGTGCTTTTGCTTACACCACATTTAGGCACACAACAAAATGAATTCTCATTCTCACCAATAGCTTCAGAGTTTTGATGAGAAGAATACACATTGAGTGCTTCAACGCTGAACTTGTTTGTGTATGACGACATGGATTGTTCTGTATTAAAGGGTATATTATGTGTATTGAAATAATCATTATCAGGATCAATTTCCATTTTAATAGTTTGCGATGTTTGCATATGAAAGGATTCCAAAATATTATCAACAATACCTGAACCGGTAGAAATAATTTTATGCTCTTGATTAAAATTTGGTTTTTTCATGGAATTATTTAGTAAGACTTGACTGGAAGTAGATGGTTCTAAAAAAAAAGTAAATAAATAAAAACATTTAAATTTTATAATGTTATACTTACCTTCTAATGTATTTAAATTATAGGTATCTGGACTATAATTTGGCATAGGATCATTGGATTTCTTTATATCAAAGCAACTGCTACCTGTTGATAAATTAGAAATGAATTAAAAAGTCTTTTTGATATTTAGAGTATGTATTGTCAAATCAAATTAATAAATTTTAAAGCATAAGTCAAATGATCTGCACAATCAAAATAAAATTAATAAATGCAATATGAACATGAAAAACAAATATGATTACAAATACTATTTCAATATAACAAAGTCTTTAAGTTAATAAAATTTTATTAATTAACATTATACACAAAATTTTTTTAATAGTAATAATATTTTTTTATAACATCTTACAAATGGTTATTGAAATATATATCTGCTGTATACACAATTTCGGCACTTTTTATTAACTTTCGAACAATAAATATTTCGACTGATAAATAGCCAGGTAGTCTCAGAACATTTTATATATCACAGTTTCTGATCTTAATTGTGTAGTACGTGAAAAAAAATTTATTTTTATTACACCACCTGATACTGACTTCTATACTCTTCTATACAATAGAAGAGCGACCCTACAAGGTTATTAATTGTATCATTCGACACCAATCAAAAGGACTTTACAAGCAGATCCCAGCGAGTTACAACAACAACAATGTTATAAATAATATCCAAACTTTGGGTAGTGTAAGTCAAGCAGATTTACAAAGAATGACCCAGAGTCAGTGGCGTAACTACATTTTTTAGGCCTGTAAGCAAATTCTAACTAAGGGGCCCCTACCATCATACTAAGGGGCCCCTCTTTTTATACTCTTTATACGAAAAAATGTAAAAAGGGTATATAAGGTTTGTCAAGATTTTCGTAACGCATTAAAGGAAACTTCGGAAATACCATTAAGTATATATCAGTATACTTTTACAGTTCAAACTACTCTCTCAGCTTTTGAACTCTTCGAATGAAACTTTATACACATACTTATCGGGAGCGCACCCTGTTCACCATTTGATTTGATTGAAATTGGACGTCTATTTCTTGTAGCTGTGATATAAACTTAACAATCGGATATGAGGTTTCTCCGGTTTTAATAAAGGTATTCAAATGGAATTTGGTGTATACAGTACTGATATTTGCAAAAGACAACGTACAAAATTATTTTCAAATGGGTTTAAACTTAGATATAGCCTCCATATAAACTCTCGATTAAGACACATATTTTTCTTAGAAAAACTTTTTTATTTCATAAATAGGTTTAATATTTTATTTGAAGTACATACATATTATGTACTTTAAATTTAAAATTTACGTATCTTTTATAAAATGCAATATGAAGTTATTCCAACAAAAAACGTTTCGTCCCACTTTTGATAATTTATTAAAAAGAAATACAATGAATACAAAAATTTATAGTGGGGCCCCCTAAATTTGGGGGCCCGAAAGCGTTGCTTCCAGTTGCTTCCCTGTAGTTACGCCACTGCCCAGAGTCTGGGTCAAAATAAAATAAACTTTACCATTTTATATGCATAAATCATAGTTTTCAAACTGGTTGGGATATATCCAGGAGTCATTTGTCTATGAAGACTTATTTCCACTTACCACTTCTGCTTGAATTTTACTCTTTGCAATAAAGTTCCCACAAGAACAGTGACGCGAGGTCCAACAGTAACAACAGAGAATAGAACTGTGTGGTATAATGAAGTCCACCAAATCAAATACCAAAGATGTGAAATTTTATAATTAATGATCATTTAGATATATTTCAGTATGATAGTGAAATATAAGAAATATTAAAATAATATAGAAATATATATATATATATATATGTGGCCTGTACTACTGATAGCCCATGTTTTAAAAAGACACAACTCACTTAAGGCTCCTATATGAACCCATTGTGATATCACAATTTTTAGTACTTGCTAGATGTTTCAAGGGAAGCTATTTCGAATCTTTAAACCATAAAGTAATAGCTAATGTCTTGTTTCCAATATTGGACCGATACTTAAGGAAGACCTTATAGTAAATAAACGCCAAGTATTAAATAACGGTGGTAATAGTAATTGAGCAAATTAGTGACAGTTTTCTCTAAGAAGTAGAACCTAATCGATCATTATGTCTGCCTTTTTGGTAGCGATTTTCATGAACAGTAAGAAGAGAGCAAGATTACATAGTTGCTCTGCTTTTTTTCTGATTGTAGATAATAAATTTAAGTATGTGAATTGATTTTAGTAAAAAAACATTATAAAGAAACTCCAGAAAAGTGACTTATGATTATAACAATAAAACATCCAGCATGCTAAAATACTAATACTAAAATTCATTACAACTAATTGTACTAATGACACTATGACAAGATAAATTGATTTTTAGATGAAATTAAATAACGAATAAATCATTTAAAATCAAGTACTTATAGCTAAATTGCATATAGTCATTTTTAAAATACGCTAGTATTAAATTTATTTCTAATAAAACTAATAAAAGTCGATGCGTTTAATTGCTTACATGATTTCAAAGTGAAATTAAGAACTATTATACAATTTTAAGTGAATGATATTTACAAGAAATTGCATATATAAACTTACCATCATAATATTTACCACAGAAGAAAGGCTCACCGAGCCGATGTTCATATAATTCTTGGGGTAAACTGAATGATAATCTGCAGACAGGACAATCGAAACGTTTTTGATTCTTATGTTGTGCTAAATGAGCGAGAAAATGTTCACGTACTCCATAAGTTGCAGAACAAACCTGCAGAACAACAAATATAAAAAGTTATATTATGTATATATATATATATATATAGATATGTATATATATCAATATAATTCATATAAGACTTCAACTTACATTACAGACGAATGTCATATATTCATGTTGGGTATATTCATGATTTTCACATGCTTCAATTTCATCAAAATATTTGCCACAATATTTTTGGCAGAAAAATTTATTTGTTTTATGCAACTTCTCATGGTTCTGAAGTTCTTCGTTGGACATAAACGACATTGGGCATATACCACATTTGATATCAAATTCTAACATTTTGCAGGAACTCTGTGCAATATGTTTTACAAAAATTTGTTTCTTGAAGAATATAGCTTTGCAGCGTTGACAAATCGGAAGTGTATCGGACTTCTCCGTTTGTAATTTACGACGAGGAAAATTAATAGTCTGTAAATGATATATAAAAAAAAATTATTTTTAGTACATATAGATTAATAAATGCTATATATATAATAAAAAAGAATAAGTAATTAACTAGCTTTAACTAGTCTTTAAGTTTTACGACTCAAATCAATATTTTTAATACATGCGTCAGAACGATTCTCTACACAGCTGCGAGACATGGTCCATATATATATATATATATATATATAATAAAAAAGAATAAGTAATTAACTAGCTTTAACTAGTCTTTAAGTTTTAAGACTCAAATCAATATTTTTATTACATACGTCAGAACGATTCTCTACACAGCTGCAAGACATGGTCCATCACCAAAACAAATATTAAGAAAATACAAACGTTTGAGGCACATTATGAGCATTCGGTGGCCAGTAACTGTCTCGAATTCAGAGTTATGGAGAAAGGCAGAATAACTCCAAATGGAAGTAGAAATCTAAAAGCATAAATATCGATGGCTAGATCACACGCTTAGAAAACCAATCAACGATATCTCTCCTACTGTACTGGAATACAACCCACAGGGACAACGCAGGAGAGGTCGTCTTAAGTTAACGTAGAAGAGAACGGTTGAAATGATATATATGGTAAGTAGTTGTCTAAGTTAATATATCTGTTTTTTAAATTTATGTGTTTTATGTGTAATTGAAAAAAAACTAGCCAAAGCTATTTGACTGAACTGTTTCAGAAATGCTTAGAGTGCTCTGACTTACCGGTTTTGTCAGTTGGTATCTGGTATCTCAACTAACACAAACACCCTATATCTTAGTTAAAATTTAAAATGCACATTCTGTCGAATTCCATACGATTTTTATCTTACTCAACCAAAAATACATTTCCATTTTTTTGCACAGAATAAGTCGAAAAAGATCTGTATATATCGCTTCTCTTGTATTAAATTATAATTACCACTTAGGATTGTTAAGGGTTCTATCTGCAGTAATTCTTGTATATACAATTCATAAACTTATAAATGATTAATAATGATCTTTTCCTATTTAAACGAATATTCTTTGAAATTTAATCTATTTATCGAAATATAACCAAAATTAAGACAAAATTTATATATTTGTGTTTATATCTGGATAAAGTGGATTAGAAGAACTAGCTACATGGTTTACACCTTTGATTATCAACATCTAATTGAAAAATAGTGTCTATAACATAGAAAGAGCTTTCTCACATTGCAAAAATTTAAATGTATCACAGTCAGGGTGGCTCTTCGAAGACTCTTCTAAGTGCCATGGTACATCCGCACGAATGACATGCTAAGAGACCTCAGAATAGACCAGGTCAAAAAATGCATAAGAGACAGAGCCCTGAAGCTATACGCGAAAAGTGATAGGCTGCCCAAGACAGCATTATCTAATCTTAGAGTCTTAGAGCAATCACACTTGCTGTACAAGGCGGTTTGCAGTTCTTAGATCAATTATCGAATAATCAGCGCAGCTTATGAGGAATACTTAAATTAGTCAAAGAGAAGGGAGGTAGGATTCTGTAGAAACCTCCGAACTAGAAAGAGTAAAAATGCTCAGTTGCACTAACTCGGAAAAACCTTAATATACGACAGTAAGGGGTTACCAAAAATGTTTCTTTTCGACACCATTTAGTCCACCACTTGTCCTTGTAAGTGCAACAAAATAAAATTAAATCTTAATAAACAAACAACTTTTTGAAATCTTATTATTACATATTACATATAAACATTTTTTCATATATATACCTTTTTATTGGATGACCCAGGTCCAGTGAAAATATGTGACGAACTTGTACTTGCTCCAATCAGTGAAGACGAAGTTATTATTGGTTTGGTTTCTGTTGCAGCTGCAATTGTTGAAATGGCTGGAATTTCAGTTGCAAATATGGTTGTAGTTGCAGTATTTGCAATTGTAGAAGCTGCAGCATTATAAGATTCAGTTGAGGTTATAGCATGTGCTGAATTTGCCGTAGTAACATCTGTGCCAACTGAAACTGTTGTAGTTGTCACAGGTAGATTCATATCGGCTTGTGCAAATAATTCTGAAGTTGTTGCTGGTGCAATTATAGTTGTGGCTGGTACTATTACAGTTGTTGCTGGTGCTAGTGCTGGTGCTATTATAGCTGTTGAAGGTGCTGGTGATGGTACTTCTTTAATTGTTGTGGCTACCATGGAAGTAGTTGAAGGAACTATTGAACCAGTTAATGGATTCATTGAAGTATCAGCTGATACTGGTGCTGGTTCTATTATTAATGTTGATGTTGATTCTGGAGTTAAACCCGATGCTAAAGTCGGTACTATGGCAGATTGGATTAAGCTTGATGCTGATGCATTTGTAGATATAGATGGTGCAATCAAATTTGTTGCTGATGCTAATAAATTTGTTGCTGTGGCATTTGTAGTTGGTATTGTTTGTATAAATTGTACAGCTGAATCCATTGAATTTACAGTTGGTTGCATATAATTCGTTACTGGAGCAACTGAAGCTGGTACAGTTGCTGCTGGTGTTACCGCAGCTGCAATATTTGATGACAAAGCAGCTGTTGCTGGATTTAATAATGTAGTAGTTGCTTGAATTGTTGTGTTTGGCATGGCTGGAATTATGGGATGTTGTTTATACAACTCAGCAACTGTAGGAACGATATCTTCGGCGTCTACTTGAATTTGAAAAAAAAAAGAAATAAATTTCAATTATTTCGCAAAAATTGCTGATTAATTTAAAATTCTAGGTTTAGAGATTTCTGTTAAATCATGAATTAAACTTAATAAATAAACAGACATCAAATCTATGCTTTTAAAGATTTCTATCGAACTATATTTATAAAAGAACATAAGCATTAAAGTATTAATCAGTATGTACGTATACATGATATATATACAATATAAAATATATAATATACAATATACGTATATTAATACGCCAGTCAGCCAACAATAAAATTTTTATAAATGACTATGATAAAAATAATCAATCCCACAGAGTATCCATCTATTCATCCCGACCGTCGAAAAAACAAGTATACATAAAGCTGCAATATTCTGAGTTAAGGCAGCGCACTACATTAAAAATATTATTGGAGGCGGCGTTATAGAGACACAATCGAACTGGCACAGATAGAGTATGGTTACACAAATACACACAAGCTTAGCTACACATTATGAATGTTAGTCAAGCCGAGAGGTAGAGAGAAGGCCACAAGAGATACGTAGATAACGAAGCGTACAGACTTATATGTACACAACAAATCCAGAAGAATAATTTTGAATTGTTCCAAGCATTGAACGGAAATATTTTTTACGTTCTTAATTACCTTTTTTCTCAACTGTATATTCTAGATACATATTTAATATCAATAATTTTGTTATGGGTTTTATATGGTTGTGATGCGAAAGTTTGGCTTATAAGAATAACGTAAACGATTGTCTTTTGATATGTAGTTAGCGTTCAATATGGAGTCAGCTTTTTTGGACTAATTTTTATGTAAACATATCAGAATAATAAAAATAAACATCATACAAAACAGGCCACCAATGAACTTTAATACTTTGATTTGATATAAATCTATACCGAAAATGTCTCTGTATTCTCAAATTCCATTGAATGGCTAGTTAGTCGACGGTTCTCAATGTTCAAAATATGTATTTTGCGCATGTAATTTGCAAATGTTTGCTTTTATTAGCGCCAGACTTCTCTTGAAATGATATAAAATTTGAAGCAAAAATAGTTACATAAAAGAGTAAGATTTCTGCAAATTATATATATACATATATATATATATATATATATATATATTGTATAAAAGAAACGACACGAGTTATTTTACGTTTTATAGTTTCCATTTAAATTAGGTTCTTCGTCATCATAAAAGAAGAACTCAACTAATAGATATCTATTCAACAGAAAAGTAAAAGATAAAATGTATGTACTGTAATATACACTTTTCTAATTATAAACTATGTATGTATGTATTTCACATAGTTGGATGTAATATATATAGAATAAAAATTAACGTAGTATGTAGTTGTGTAAAAGGTTTGCATGTATGGTGACACGGAGTTTACGATTAGAACTCATTAGTTAGTCTTGAAGAGGGCATACTGCAATACAATATTAGATGGGTGGTATATGTTTACACAAATAGATATATCGTTTTAGGTATTTTGCTCCATACATCTATAAGCTATTTCTTTATTTAATTAGTGATTTTTCTATAGCATAAAAGACACAACTCATAAGAACTGATTACTGATTAATTATTTACCAAAATTTTTTATTATTAAACTGTTAGGCAGAGTAACCAAAAGTAAGAAATAGTACGGCTGATTTTAGTTAGATTTGTGGAATTCGTATATTGCAGTAATAATATTATAATAATCATTCATTTTTGGCTCTCTTTGAAGCTGTGCTTTTAATATAATAAGTAACTAACTATACATTCAAACATATATGATAGTCTCATGGAGACGACTATCATTTTAAGAATGACTGCATCATTTGGTACAGTTTTAGATTGTTCAGGTTATACATTACTAATGGTAAATATAAATTTAATCTAGATTTACTCTCGATTTATCAAATTTTGTTGAATAATCTAACATTTTTCTAGTAATATTAGTAGATATTTATATTTTTCATAAATATCGAATCAAATCACACAGCATATAAAACAGCTGTTAATTTCAGAGTAAACTTGTTACTCTAGAAAAATATCTGGAATAATATTAATTAATCTCGAGTGTTATACATTTCGCTCGAGATTCATCAATCGAAAATTAAAGTTGCACTTAATGTGGATGAAAAACTTATTCCAGATTTACGAATCGAAAACGGCATAAGTCTTAGTTTTCGATATAAAATCGTTTGAGTTCAGAATTTGTGCAAAGCCATAGTAACTATGACGGAAGATATTCTATATTATTACATATCAATTTTACACACGTTTGCGGTTAATAGTTTTCGCTGATGAGTATATATGTTAAAATAAAATTCGAATTTGGTAAATATTTTTGCATATAAGCTTTAAATATTTAACGAAATAATACAAGACTTTAAAGTCAATACATTGATATGAAAACATATAGAATTTTTATTATAAATATTTGAACTATCACTAGTCTTGTTTGTCTCTCCGTTAGCCATGCTATCACCAATGACATCATATCATCAGTCTGCAAAAAGGTCATAATGTAAATAAAATTCTATTAAGTTGCAGGTAATACAAGAAGTGTTGCAACGGCAGGTCGACTATTTAAATTTATTTTTGCGCAATTCTGCCATTTTCTAAGAATTCTCGTCCAACTTTGTCGTAGCTAATTTTGCATTATGAGCCAAGCATAAGTTTGGTATAATACACTTTTTATCAAAAATATATACTCAGATGAATACTCTATTAAACGACACCCATACAGAATGTGTCACTCCGTTAACTCCGTTGTAATTCGGGAGGTATATTGGTTGAACACCTTTCTTAACGGAACTGTCAATTAAGTTTTCAAAACTCAAACATCAAAAGTTTTGACGTTACCATAGAAAGCATACTTCGTATAAAAATATCCTATTTTGAATTCATCTATTCATAATTTTGTAACTTTAGAGTTCTAAATATTATATTTTTACGTTTAATAATTAGCATTTAATTATGTTTTATACTTAACATTTTGTAACGAAGGCTAACGTAAAGGTATTCAACAATTCTAAAACTGAACTCAAAAATAAACTTCTACATAATTGACCATACATAAATATTTATGTATTAATAATAGTTTTATGCTATTCAAAAACCGTAAATGAGGACATAAAACTAACTATTAAAAAAATCGTTAAAGTGCAAAATATACTATACTTTCCCTTAATTTCCTTTTTCATTCATAACCGAAGAACTATTGATATCTCTGAAAGCTCATAACAAAGCCATAAAACAAAATAAACTAAACTAGTCTATGCTATACTATAAGACTATACTAGTCATTGCCGTACATTCTTAGCTTTACTAAATATAAAAATATAATATGAATGAATATAAATATCTGGAAGAACTGCTACTAAAAAAAGAAATATATAACTCAAAAAACTAAACAACGTTTTCATTCATCAGTCTGGTAGAAGTTAGCATTTTTTCCGAACAGTGAATCTCCTATAGCATAAATGAGCGGCAAGGCAATTATTTAGGGCTTCGCACAGGAATTATTTCCGTTCCGCTTCAAAAAAAGAAATATATATATATATATATATCAGATGGTTTCCGGAAAAATATCGGTTTGTTTTTGATTCAGTTGTGGTTCGAAGCCCTGCACTTAATTGTGTGATTTGATGAGTGAACACTTAAGATGCGGATCGAACCGTACCTAGTACCAAGAGTGCTATATTACTTTGGTCAGTTGATTGTGACAATTTTAAACCAAATATATAGTTTCTTAAAATTAAATCATGTGTGCAATGCATCGTTAGTATATAGCAACTCATATACTTTAAATGCAATTTATTCATAGAGACTTATATATAATATACTTATGATATAATAAAATATAAAAAATTATTAAATAATAGCATAAAAACTAGTACAAAATTAGATATTATCTCCGCAATAATATCTAATCATTTAATATCATATTAAATATAAACCTTAAAACTATAAAACAATATTATTTTACTATATTATATATGTCATAAGAAAATCAATAAAAAAGACTCGATAGGTTATTTAAGATATAAATACTTAATACCTGACTGTATCACCTGGACGCTCTCATGATATACAGAATCAGTGTGATAGCACACTTTTTACTTCAACTGATTGACTTTACTATTTTGAAAGTGGAAAATTGATTGATTATTATTACAACATTCCAGAACCTGATTTCCAATTCAAAATTTCCATACGACAAAAATAAAAATAGAAATAAATATTATTATTTTAATGTAACAATTAGCTTATGATAGGAAACGGCACTACGAACTGCTCTCCCACTCGATATTTTTTCGAGATCTACTCCTACTAGCAACTACTCAAGTAAATAAATGTTGGGTGAAATATGTATTTTTTGGAAAGCAACTCCTTTTATTAGTAAGGTGTAGATATGAATGTACTGTTAAAGAAGAAAATATTGATAAATTATGCCGTATCTTGCTAGAAAAAAAAAACTTCTACCAGCATATTAAACGCTGCTCTTGACAAGAGTTCTTAGCATCGGTCGAGATTTGTAAGACTAAACGCGACAAAAAATGCTCTTGAGGAATTTTATTACCACTACTTAAACTGCATCTACTTTTCGTCAACATGCATTAGAAATACTAACTGATAAGGTATTGGAGCTTGTGAGCTAGACCAAAGAACCTTAATTCACATTTTCGTTGAGATAAGCACATTAATGAGTTTTGGAACTTTGTACAATAAAAAAAATGCATTTTATTATAAATATACATATTTTACATATATAAATACTGTAATGTATGCATTTTATACTCAATATATTATACACTTAATTTAAATATATTTAATTTTAAATATATATAATTTAAATTTATATAATATTATTTATTACATATTATAATTATATTATAATTATATATAAATATATAATAATTATATATTATATATTATACATTACATATTATATATTACACATTATA